TCTATTATCTGCAGTCACTATGGATGTAGAAGCAGTATTTATTCTCTGAGTACTGTTGAACCACAAAATCTACCTGCTGTCTTTGTTCAGTTTGTAGAGAAATATGGAAACATTTTCACCATCAGAATCTTTGGTGGAAGAACCGTGGTCATTAATAGCTACAAGTTTGTGAAAGAAGCCCTGGTCCAACAAGGAGACGACTTAATAGATCGTCCCACTGTACCACTGTTTGAAGATTTATTTGGGAATGAAGGTTCTGTTTTTCTCTTTTTCATTAAAAATATATATATAGTTAGTGTTTAATACAGTCAAAAGCGTAATTGAGACACCAAATCAGGGCTGTAAGCGAATGCTTGTTACATTCAGTGTAATTCGGTGTATTTGTGTGTTCAAAGGTCTTGTGATATCAAATGGTTACCCATGGAAGCAGCAGAGGAGATTTGCTCTTCATACACTCAGAAACTTTGGTCTGGGCAAGAAGAACCTGGAGTTATACATCCAGCAGGAGTGCCAGTATCTCTCAGAGGCTTTCACAGAACACCAAGGCATAAAAAACATCTGTGCTATTTTACTGTGAAAGAAATTGCATTTAAAGATCACCACCTTTCTCTGTGATAGAGCTGAAGTTATGAGGCTGATTGGTACAATTCAATAGAGTTTGCTTGCTTTGTTATGACACGGGGTCCTTCTACCCCGCATTTTCTGTCTTCTTTTGCAGGAAAGCCCTTTAATGTCCAGCTACTGATAAATAATGCTGTGTCGAATATCATCTGCTGTTTGGTGTTTGGGAATCGATTTGAGTACACTGATCAGCAGTACCAGTCCATTCTTCATAACTTCAATGAAGTTATGCGCTTACAGGGAAGCATGTCGACACAGGTGAACCTCTTCCTACCGTGCTACATCATGCACAAATCATATTACATCACGATTTACAGAAAATACACAAGTTGCATTTTAGCGTCTTAAATAAATGTACTTTAATAATCTACTGTAAAATGACAACTTTCTTATGTCAATTTCAGTTTTAGTGGAGTGTGCATCCCATAGTTATGCTTTTGGGAGAACAGTCTCCTGTCAAAATTTCTAATTCCAAATCAGTTGTGAGGAGCCAAAACAAAGACTGACTTAAAACACACTAAAGGGCAGAGATGAGGTAACTAAGGCCTGGGAAATATAAAGCCCACAGAGATAAACAAAATCTCAGAGAATCAGCCTTCCTGACCTCAACCTATCTCATCAAAACAAAAAACAAACAAATGTTTGCTGAATTTGCCCTCAAATATTTTTCCCTCTGGTTTATATTTCTACCATCAGCTTTGCCGCTGTGGGAATCTCTGTTAGATTTTAATCCAGAATTCTTTGAATGCACAGCCTCATATGTAGCGCACACAGACATATGAATGTTTATTCAGTCATTAAAATATGGTTAATTCTATCTTCCTATTGTGTAGATGTACAACATAATTCCCTGGCTGATGAAGTGGCTACCTGGACCTCATAAGACAATGTTCACTCTGACACAAGTGATAAAGGACTTCATAGATATCAGGATCAAAGACCACAAAGAAACCCTTAACCCAGCGTCACCGAGAGACTATATTGATGCTTTTCTTATAGAAATGGCAAAGGTGAGTGTTGTGCTCGATCTCCATCATGTTTGTTCATTTTGGTCTTGTAATGCAAACTGAAATATAAGATATTTTAATTTCTGCTGCTTGGACCGTTGATAGAACGAGGAGAACGATTCAAGTTTTTCTCTCAGTACCTTACACGCTTGCACCATGGACCTGTTTTTTGCTGGAACTGAAACTACTACCACTACTTTACGTTGGGGGTTGCTTTACATGATCTACTACCCTGATATACAAGGT